TAGTGTGTTAATATCTTAAATTAAGCTCAAGGTATAAGATGAAAACTCATTTAGACATTAACAGTAAAATCTTTACAATTAGATAAATTAATTCCAGATGCTGACATGCCTAACAATTTGCTGAAAATATTGTGAGTATGAACGTAGTTTGCGGATGTTAATGGAATAGCTTTAGATGCTGAGGCAATATTCTCCGCTTCCGGTAAACATCCTCGCTAGCCCCTAGAATATTCACAGCTGTTCGTTTCTTGTTTTCACTAGAAGTTTTGATGTAGCCTTTAGCAACCGAATTAGATTTCCAGCCACCATGCCTTTTTACGGTCAAATGATCTGCTCCAGAATCAGCCAAAAGATAGGTAGAAGATCGCCGAAAACAATGCCCGGTATACTCTTTTGGATTGGACAACTGAATAAATTTGGCAATAAGGTTTGGAACACCACCTATAGTATTAATTCCAATAGGTTGCCTAATGCATTTCCCTGATCTATATCCTACAAAAAATCGAGCATGGTCGCAGTCTTCGGGCCTTAAATTAATGTATTTTCTGACACCTTCTACTAGATTCACACCCTTAATATTTTCAGATGTTACAAAAAATTCTCTAGAGACTTTTGTTTTGGTATTTGGGTTTATGATTTGAAAGCATACTACTTCGTCTTTCACATTTTCTACAAGCAAATTTGTAATTTCGTCCCGCCGACACGCGCCCGCTAAGCCAATTATCAAAATAATCTAAAATAATTATTGCATTTTTTGCCTAAAATAATATTTCTGATTTACCTTCATGCATAGAAATTTTTCTTCTTCAGCATCTAACTAAAATTTAGTTATTTCTTTTGAACTTTTTAGGTTTATACCCTTTCGATTTTCGTTTCAGGAATGCAATTAAATTTACATATTTCTTGATGTCGATATTCTGAAATTTTTGTTTTTAACATCGAGTAATAATAGCATTAAAGATATGCTGTGTTTTGCTTAATTCGTTGAAATATACTAATAATTCTTTCTTGCTTGTCAAGTTGATTATCTTTTTTTCATTGCAACATTTTTCGTACCGATCAAAAGCTTCTTGGTATTTCTTTCGTGATTTAGCTGGCACCAGATGAGAAACAACATTAAAAGCTTCCTTTTCAATATCAGATGGCAGATCACCGCTTGAACTCATTTGTGAAATTTTCACACAGCTTTGATAATGACTGACAGAAGAAATTTATTCACAATCGTAGCTATGCTAGTTGCTAAGGTAATATAAATTCTTATTGCTTGCATCCTGTATTCAATTTTTAAACATTTTATTTTTACTCAAATATTTTTTAAAATAGGGTAATTCCATTTAGTAGCCACCAATGAGTGCACCTCATGTACTCTAATTTTATTTCTTTTTTAACTGTAAATATACAAGGACGCAAGAAGTGAAAAAAACTCATCTTTTCTTTTCTCCAATTTATGCTTATCATAACAGGTACTTATTACTCTCCAATAACCATGAATAAAATTATTGTGTATTTTTCTTTTAGCTGTGTTGTGGATAAACTTTATATTTAGACAAAATAAAACAGGTATTAAATCCTAAATTTAAATTAAACTTAACTGCATATAATTAAACTGAGCAAATCATATTCTTAACTTTTACAATCACCTAAAAAAATCTATTTACTATTTACTATTTTTACCTCTAAAAAGTTATATGAATCGAAACATTTTCTTATGTGTATAATCAGGGCCGGATTAAGAGTTTTGAGGCCCTGGGGCCGACATTTGGTGGGGGCCCTCAATATTTCTAAAAAAAATTGACACTAAAACTCCTGGTAAATTTTTAAGCTAGAGGAAATTTACGTGATTTTTTATTATCTTTGAATCTATTATTTAATAAACCATAAAAATTTTAATAAAATCGGCAAAAGCGTTTTTAAGCTATAAATAAAAAATTCATTTTTTTTAAACGAAATACCCTGTATCTCGATAATGAAGCATTTTCGGACACGTGTTTATAGGAACTTTTTTTCATATTTCGATGAGAGGAATTTCCCCTGAGCTTTTGTCACCACAAGTCTGAATCACCCTGTATATTTTAAATAATACGAACATAACCTCATATACATTTTACCCAAGTTTGAGAAATTATAAATTCGTATGCAAAACTATAAAAACGTAGATAGTAGAATAGAATTGTGAATGAAAGTGTTTTTATATACTTTATATTTTATATATTTTGAATAATACGAACATAACTTTATATACATTTTACTCAAGTAAAATATAAATTGATCTATGTTTTGTTTGTATTTTTAATACTTACCGCAAACTGAAAATAAGTGCATCAAAAGTATTATTTGTCTGTTTTTCATACAAAATCAAACAATAAAACAACCTTTTGTTCAAAGAAAAGCACAGTATTTCGGAAACACCGAAAAATATTCCACAACACTCCAATGTAGAGTGATATTAATATCTCATGGCGGTTGACCTTGAGAGACGCTATAATATTAAAACAATTATAATAGAATTTGTAGCCTAGAAATTTTTCTAAATATGTCAAAAAATATCAGCATTCTAGGCCCTATGTAGTATGTTTTTAGGTCGGCCCGATTTGACGGATTTGAGACATTTGCGCACCAAAGGTCATCCGCCATGAGATATTAATAGCACTCTACCAATAAAAATCTGGGACAAAAACTAACTTTAATATTAGGTTATAAGTAATTGACTGTTTGCCTGTATTTACAAAAACGTTACAAGCACTAAAGGAGCAACTTATGACTATAGACTATATAAAAACGTCTTCGCGCGCCAAAACTTTGAGTGTGATAATTTACATTCTGATTTGCAAGCGGATAAGCGATAAAAAATCCGCGAAAAATTAGAGTTAGATCTACGAAAAATTAATTGAAAATTACAGGATTCGCGCGGTATAACCGACCCAATTTTTTGTTTTTTCGACAATTTTCTCCATATTCGTTTCATTAAAAAGCTACATATTGCATTGGTGGGGGCCCCTAAGTGGTGGGGGCCCTGGGGCCTTCGCCCCGCTGGCCCTATGCTAAATCCGGCCCTGTGTATAATGTCTATTAAGAAGAATAAATTAACGACTTATGGCGTTTAAATGGATCGCAGCAGAATTTACCAAAAACTTTGGTAAAATAATGTAGATACTTTAATTTGTGACACCTACGTACAAATATCGGTTACAGTTGCATCCACTCGCCATTCTATTAAATCTTTTTCCTCCTTAGTACAAGATTCAATCTTGGAAAATCGCGAATAATATTTTTATGGCATTTTTCATTAATTAATTTTCCAACGTTAACATAGACAAGGGAACTTAGTATTAAAGTTCCGTGACTACTGCGCCATCTAGCGGGTGTCAAAAATATATATTAAAATTATTGTTTTTTGGATGGTACATTTTTTTACCTCCACTAGATAAATAATTCTAATATTTTTCTAGGAAAGTTCAAAGAGGGATAATAAAACATAATAAAACTACATTTTTGTAATTATTTTATTTGTCAAAGTTACAAAATATATAAAGGCAAAAATTCAAAACACAACTTAAAATCAGTCTACATCATATGAACTTATCTAACTATTTCATTCCTATTCCTATTTCTATAATATTATTCTATAAAGTTAAATAAATTTATAAATAAAAGAACAATAAAAATTTTAATACTTGGTGCTTAGAGAATTAACATATTTTTTGTTATTTGGGCAAAAAGCGGGACATAACTTATCGTTTTTTGGAAATCGATGCAATTTTACACTATCTTCCCTGCTTTTGCACTTTTGTACACAACAAGAATAAACCATAATAATGAATACACAATACAAACTTAAAAGGTTATAAATACTTCACAAATATAAGTTATATAATATATATCTTTCAAGTCGAATTATTATGACAACTTTCATTATGACAACGGTAGTCTAGGTGACAAAAACAATTTTGGCGACATTAGCGCCTCTGGCAAGCGTAGTCTAAACTTCTCAGCGGACAAGTTTTTGTACAGTAAAGTTTTAAGAAATTCCGCCGGCTCGCTATGGTCTAAATAGATATTTTAGCGCGAATTAATTTAAAAAGTCGGTTACTTCCAATACTGACATAATTAGAGTTCAATATATGTTTGGTATCAAAGTTATCATAAAAAATTAAAGCTTGGAAAAAAATATTCAATTTAAATCACAATCGAAGCCGCATAATTACAAATTAAGGCTCTTTTTATCTTCGCTCAATTTTTTGTTAACTCGCATGCGAGTGTATTTACGAATTGATTGGGATAATTTTATATTTCTACAATGAGTAAAGTAGTAAGTAATGTAGGTTTTACAATTTTTTTTTATTATCTCATTGTTTTGTGTAAAGGATTTTTTTTATTTTGGTACCATTACAAATTACATGTAGGTACTAGGAACGTTTCTAAAGTTTTAAAAATTGCAAAAGTTTGCAAATATAGTAAATGCTTTTAGTTATTGTAGGTAAAGTGACTGATGAAAGTTCCCAAAACGTGTGACAAAATTGAAAAAGTTTTTTAACATTTAAGGGAGTATTTTGGATAATTCCATTAAAATTCCCTTTTGTTAAATCCCAGTTAATTAAAACACAGGTCTATGAGTAAGTAAAGTAGTCTCAGACTTTAAATTAATATTTAACAAGATTTGGAAGTTTAGCGAGATAGTGTTAAACTGGCATGACTAATTATAATATTGTTCAATAAATGCAGCAATAATGAAATTCTAAGCTTCACAAATTGCATGCGTAAATTGCATATTAACTAAAACTACAGCAAAGTTTCTTCACAATGCTCCAAAATAATTTCATAATTAAGAAAAATTAACTTGAACAAAGTTTAATGGAATTATATACCACGCAATAAATTAGGATTTTGTAAATATTTTATTATAAAATATAAATATGATTTTTCAATTTATCAGGTACAATTAAATTTTGTTTTATCTTGACTATTTATCATACAAGTACTATAACTCTTTTAGAAAAACTGTGCTTTACCAATTTAATTAAAAATTTAATTTAAAAAGTGCTTAGATAGCATCCGCTTTCAAATCTCCCTTTGGCGGTGGTACTTTACCTTTAAGAATATATTGAATCTCATCCAATGTTTTCCCCATTGTTTCTGGTATCACAAAGTACGTAAAAATGGCAGTGCCAAAGCACGAGATAGCATACACAAAGAAAGGAACATGCATTCCAAACCTATCGTGCAATAACTGATACACTAAGAGAGATATTATAGCCCATACAACATAGCTAGCATCGGCTAAAGTCATTCCAAATGATTTTAGTTTTGCAGGAAATAATTCTGCAGTTAAAACAATGGGTACTAAGCCTAAACCTGACTTAAAACAGGCTGCATACAGCATTACTGTAGCTACAGGTATCCAACTTATTGAGTCCATGTTTGATCCTGAGACTTTAAATTGAAAGTATGTGGCTATGATCAGCAAAGTTAACCCTGTTAGGATGCTGGAGTTTATTAGTAAAGCCTTCCTCCCAAATTTATCCATAAGTAGTGAGGAACATAGAGCTGATGTTAACATTACAAGTGAGAATAAAATGGCAGCGGTTGAGTCTTCAATGTAAGTTGAACCTGCTGATGCTAATATTGAATGTAAGTTCATGAGCATAACACTGATACTGCTAAAATGTTGAGCGGCATTTAGAACACTCATGATAAGCAAAGCTTTTCTATTACTGGGTACTAAGAATAGATCTTGTGGCCTACCAGTTTCAGTTTTTTGTCGTGCAAGAGCTGACTCTATCGTCTCAAACTCTTTATCAATGTTTTCAGTATTTCTTAGTCTTAATAATGCTGATCTGGCTTCTTCGCGTTTATCTTTTGTAAGCAAGTAATATGGTGATTCTGGCATGAAGGGAAATATTATTAGTTCTAATAAAACAAAACTTCCTCCAATAATTGGGGGTACATACAATGGTGTAAATGGGGTTATACAGTACACCATAATTATTCCAGTCAGCATCATTAAATAGATAAAACTAGATAAAAATCCTCGTATTTTCTGATCAGCAATCTCAGCTATATACATTGGGGCGGCTACAAACGCCATATCTCCCGCCAGTCCAGCAAAAAACCTCGCTATAAATACCACGTAGATATGATTTGCCAGAGCTATAAGCATCCAACCAGTAAGCGAAAACGACGAAGCCAATAGCAGGGAATATTTTCGTCCTATTTTGTTTGGAAAATATATCGTCAGGGGTAAGCCACAAAATGCACCAAACATGAGGACGGTTTCCAGAAGTTCTGCTTGTCTTATTGTGGTTTGTACCGGGCTATTGGGGTGGGTTAATTTGGAGATGGCGGGGGCGGTCCAACCGTAGTGCATTCCATCAGAAAGGGCGAAAAATGTGCCTTAAAAAAAGAATTTTAATTATTTTTTTGTTTTTTACGAAAATAATAGTAAGTAATATACAGTGCTTGCAAATCCAAGTCCGACCGCGTTGGAAAGGATGGTTGTTCAATACCCGCGTGAAAAGAATAAGGATAGAATGCCAAAAAGAATTTGATTGGTCAGAGCGTCAGGCGTGCGTATTGTAAGCGCCTTCTGTTTGGCGTTCTATCCTTGTTATTTTCACGCGTCCTTCCCAAACCGGTTGGACTTGGATTTGCAAGCACTGTATATTAATACTGATAAAACGATTATGAAAATAACTACACGAGCAATACTACGTCTGGACCTAAAAATTATATCAAAAATTTCTCAAAACCGATTTAGGATATGAGTATCACACAATAATGACCTTTATTAAGAAACCCCTGGGGCTGAAGCCACTCAAACTTAATTTTGGCTGTACAAGCTAAACTTTAAGTGATACAGAAATATATTTTGTGACAAAATTGTAGGGCACAAAATTCCCTACAAAATTGTTATTTACGTTTTTTATCTAAAATCAATATAATAATACGATTTACTGCTATTTTTTAAGATTTTCGAGTAGAACGGCAATTTGTGAAGAACATATGCAACATACAGACTTGCTTAAATGGACATTTTTGAAGATAATTTCATCCTGTATAAAGATTTTTAAAAAATATTTTTACTGTACGAGCGGAAGGAGAAAAAAATAAAAAATTGCTTTTTAATATTTAAAAATTGAATAGCAACGGCTTAAAATAAAGATTAGGAGTATTGTAATAGCTCAAAATTTTTGTTTTCTGACCGGTTACAAGATTTTCAGGTGGGTTTTTGAAAAAAAAATGTTGCTCTAAAATGAAGCACTTTAATATATACACTGCCTGTCAAAATTAACTCTAAAACGCCTTTACCAATCTATGAAATTTTGTATAAAAATACTTCAACTTATATCTCAGTTTACGTGTTCAAGGGTTTTTCGTATGTAATACCACTAGTGGTAAAATTTTACCGATAAAACTTTTGATTTTAATTCTAATGTTTTTTTCTTGGAAATTTCGCAAGTGGCATTAATTTTTAAGACCACGAGCCGCTAGGCGAGTAGTTTTAAGTTAATGTCACGAGCGAAATAATAATGATCATTGATAATTTACAATTTACAATTTTTATATGGTGATAAACCTTTCTCCCCCTACCAAGCATCAAAGTATTAAAAAATCAGATTTAAAATAAAATTACATAAAAACTATTTTTTATATATTAAAGGTATTTTTGTAGTATATCTTTAACCCGTTATCTTTACAAAAAACTGCTATCTTTAAAACATTTTTTTTTGTAAAAATTGTACTAGGTACGGCTTTGTTCCTTCCATAATACCACGCGCACTGCACCAATTTGTTGCCAAAAGCCTTTGTGAATGTATTGTTAATTTTTTTGGATTAAAATGACTACAATTTGGAAGATTAAGTGGGGTAGGATGTGACTGCACAGTCGTCAATACGGGTCTGAAAAATGGAGTTATAACAAAACTGGAGTAAAAATTGGAGTAAAAATGGAGTAAAAATTTACAATTCGCAGATTAATATTTTATAATCTGCAAGAGACATAACTCCACACGGTGTGCCTGAACGAAGTTTAAGTCACATAAAAATGCCGCCAAAAACTGATTGCAGTTTCTTGTTCGGGACCCTTTGGTGACTTAAAAATGATATTTACCAAAATCCTAGCTGCTCCTCTTTTCGAATTTTTTTTTAAATTTATGATTTTTTTTTAAATTATTGTTTATCGTAAACTTTTGACAGAGTACACATTTTAACAGCGATTTTTATAATATTAAATTATATTATTAAGGAGATTTGGAGAATACTTTTTTATACTGTGCACATCATTTAGTATAGGGTTAGCCAAAAATCGCTTCTTTTAATAAAGCAAAAGCGTAAATTCATGATTTTGCCATAATACGCAAAAAAGATATATACAGTGTGTCGCACTTAAGATGAAGACACCCCCATATTTTCGCCATTTGAGGGAATAAAGGTTTCAATTTTTTTACATTCATACATGTTGATGGGTCACATTTTTTAAGCTACTCAACTGAAATCTGAACTTTAAACTTGGCCTACTACAAATTCACAAACAGGGCCAGTTCTCGATATTTTGCTTCGCGTTAGAGATATCGAAAAAAGTTATTGGAAAAAGTTGTTCAGAATATTATTCTAACCCCACATACCATATAACAAAATTTGCATTTTTAATTTTTTTTTATTTTGGTCCACACAAAATTAGTTCATTTTTTAGTTTGATAATAAGGGAGCCATGGAAAGTAATAATTTGATACTAACTAGTGTTTCCGTTAAATAAATAATTAAAACCCTTTTTGGAAATTACAAATCAATTATAATTTATTAAATTAGAGAAATGGTGTAAAACAATAATAAAACTAATAAAAATAAATAAATTAGAAATGCGAATTTTGCTATGAAAATCGGTTTACGGGGTTAGAATAATATTCTGAACAACTTTTTCTGATAATTTTTTTCGATATTTCTAACGCGAAGCAAAATATCGACAACTGGCCCCGTTTGTGAATTCGTAGTAGGCCAAGTTTAAAGTTCAGATTTCAGTTGAGTACCTTAAAAAATGTGACCCACCAACAGGTATGAATGTGAAAAAATTTAAATCTCTATTCCTTGAAATAGCGAAAATATGGGGGTGTCTTCATCTTAAATGCGACACACTGTATATATATATATATATATAAACACCCATGTTTTTTAAATATTTTTATGTTTATCAGGCTACAAAATGGGATTCTTATTAAGACTTTTTAAGAAAAATTGATTTTGAATAAAATTAAATAAAATAGCATTTTTTGGAGATAAATCTTTTTTGTGCATTATGCTTTTTACTATATAAAAAGTGATTTTTGGCTAACCCTGTATAAATATAATGAAAACAGTATTCAAGTCTCGTTAACAATATACTCCAATATTATAAAAATCGGTGTACAAATGTACTCTGTCAAAAGTAAGATAAACAAAAATTAAAAAAAAAATAAGAAATTACAAAAAATTTCGAAAAGAGGAGCAGCTAGGATTATGGTAAATATCATTTTAAAGTTACCAAAGGGTCCCGAACAAGAAACTGCAATCAATAAAAATCGGTGTACAAATGTGTACTCTGGCAAAGGTAGACTTTGCGATAAACAAATAATAAAAAAAATATGATTTTTTAACAATTTAAAAAAAATCAGTTAGAATTTTGGAAAATATCGTTTTTAAATCTCTAAAGAACTTTAACCAGTTTTTCGTTCAAAATTGAAAACTACTAAAAAGCCTAAATTAAACAACATTTTAAATATTCTCTAAACGTTATTTTATTTAATTTTATTAAAAATCTATTTTTTTTATAAAACTTTAATAAGAATGCCATTTTGTAACCTGATATACATACGTAAAAATATCTAAAAAAAAAATGGGGATAAATCTTTTTTGCGTGTTATGCCAAAATCATGAATTTACGCTTTTGCTTTATTAAAAATAAGCCTGTAACTAAAAAATTAAGAGGTTTAGGTCATAGGTTTTTTGAACTTTTTTTTTTAAATCAACTAAGGATTCACACCCTTAAGGTTCAGCATCTTATTCTTGTATATTAGGGTGCTTCAAAAATTAAAATTTAATTTTGTTTTTCGCTCTTACCCTCTCAAATGTTTCTATTTAATATAAAATTAAATCTTACCAAATATGGGCGTTCCAGCTCAACTCTAAGAGGTCGCTGTTTTATTTTTAGTTTCCCATTTAATTAACATGGGAAAAAATAATTTTATGTTTGGAATTTTATACCTCTGTATCAAAGTAACTTATGGCAATGATAATTGCACTCCGTTCGGCATATAGATTATCCTGCCCTGAATCTGTTGAAACATAAATTCAATTAAGATAATTTAAAGTTAAAAAATTTAAAAATGCAAAATTAACATGAATGCACTGCATAAATTTAAGTAAGAATAAATGCGTAATGAATTTAATTCAAAACAATAAATTGCGAACTGTTTTTATTATTAACAGCCAATTCTAAATCAACAGCAGGGTGAGAGAAAGTGAAAAATAGCGAGAGTGAGAGAAACAAACTGCAATAAACAAAGACAGAATGAGCGAGAGAGAGAGAGAGAGAGAGAGAAACCGGCAAAAATCTATGGGTTTTAAGAACGAACCTCAAAAACGTTTTAAAACAATTGTTTTATATTGTAAATATACTATAGAAAATTATGATGAAAATACATGATGGCATTATATGCCTTAATTCAGCAGCAATTCAAACAAATTAGTTTGGATAAACTGCAAGCTTCAGGCGTTTCACACATTTAAAAATTAGAAAAAGAGGTTATTCTTGCATTCGTACTTAAGCGCTTAAGCACTCTTTTGCCGCTACACATTTTTAAGCCATTTTTAAGGGGCATTAAAATTACGCGAAAATTAACAAAATACTTAAAATTATAGCGCCTGAATTAAGGCAACCCTACTATCAAATAAAATTAATAAGCAACTTTTTTACACAAACAAAATGTGTAAAAAATATTAAACAAATTTGACGACAAAAACCCAACAAATAATATAGATAATTTATTATTGTGTAATATTTTTCGAAGCTAAACCGCCTTATATTTATATAATGTATAAAGGACAAAATATATTTTTTATTGTTTTAACAATAGGTAATAATATTTTGTTATTTTTTACTAAATTTTCAAATTTCAATAAATCCCCCTAGTAGTACTAGAGGGTGAAAGTGGTATACAAAAATTACAACGAGTTTTATAGTTATTAAGCACTTAAGTTTCCTTGCAAAGTGTGTTCGCGTGAGTGTGTAATAAACCTAAGAATATAAGAAAAATAATTATTATATAAACAATTCAAATAAGACACATGTATTTCCCAAAAGTTACTATCAAAGAATCAAAACTTTGTGGTTATTATTAAGAAATTTTATTTTTTTATTTTTAAAATCTGCTTAGAAAATGCTTTTTTTGCTTTAGGTTGTCTAAAAAAATTAATTGCCAAAAATAATAACAGTTTTACTTACTTGTAAATGCAGCTATTAACTGAGGCCCAGTGCCTCTAAATTTTTCGAAAAAACTTCCCATTTTTACTATTAAAACTTTTGGTAATTACCTCACTATATCACAGTTAGTAATGAAAGAATTAGAATAATTATAATCTCATAAAGCCAAGGTATTCTAGAACAATAATAGCGAGCATTAACCCTTAAGTACTGAAAGTATTTTTGCGATAATTAACTGTAAAAAAATTCTTTGACTGTACCTACACCTTGACCTTTGAATACACTGTGCAAGTTAATTTGAATGTGTTTTATATCATAATTTATTATTTTACCTACATATTGCGACTGTGAAAGGTAATTTGATGATTTCAATTTTTATTATGCACATGCCTCCGGCGACATGTCACCTTCCTTAACGCTTGTGCGGCCCGTGTCTCCAGAGGCATGTTTGCTATAATATGTTTAGAGCGTCCTCTAGTAAAAAAGGTTTAAATTTTTTAATTAAATTTTTTAAAGGAATAATTGCTGTTAATACCAAAAATCAATAAAAGATACTCTTAAACGCACAGAAATTATAAAACATTAGTGCTGTGTGGCACATGCATCTGGGGACAACTTATCTAGTAAAAAAATATTTGTTAATTTAACCAGTTTTTATGTTAATTCAGGTCCAAATAACTTTAAGTTAAGCCGGGTCGCATAACATAAGCTTGCTCAAAGCACCCCGCGACGTGGCGATGGAGCAAGGTTCTTTTGTCAGCTGGGTGCTTTGCGCAAGCTTATGTTTTGCGATATGCGACAATTGTAGACCCGGCTTTAAGTTTACAACTAAGTGTAATCTATAAACTAATTAAATAAGTAGTTTGTATTTATAACAAACATTATTTGGATTTAATAACAACATTTTTTGTCAATAATTCAACCAAAATTCTTGTAATTCTTGTTATTTTTACAAACTTTTTTGTAGGCACAGTAACAAAAGTATTTGTTGGAAATCTAAATGAAAAGAATTTTTTTGAGAAATGTTGCTTTATTAATAATTTCCTAAACAAAAAAATTAACACATATGTACCTACATGATGAACACAAAAATATTACAATATAATTATCAGTACTACTGCAACACTTACTGATGTATTTCGTAACTTCAAACCCACTTTACTGTATTCCCTAATTTCAGTTTGTATACCAGTGATGGCATCTTTTTTCGGATACTTCGCAATTCGCACTCGTTAAATAGGTATAAGGAATCGGAATAACAATAATAATATATTTTTGGTAATTTATTATAAACATTCTGGACAGTTGAACAATTTACGAATTAGAATAAAGTAAGCAGAAACATAAGTTGCAGACGCTTAAGTCAGTTGAACTTGTTAATGCGTATTGTCAGTGGGGATCATGGGATTTGTTTTGATTGACTGCCTGAAATCACGTGTACTTTTTGAACGAAATAATTTGTTAAACATTAACAAAATAATCTGTACCCAAAATTTTACATCCCACAATAAATTCTACAGTGCAAATAAACTAAAATGCACTGTGTTACGGAAGTAATAAAGTGTAAAGTGATAAGTGACAGCATACCTGGCGGACGAACTATCTGACAATAGGAAGCATTATATTTAAAGAACAAACGAGGCTAATCAAGAGTGGAAAGGGCCATCATCTGCAAACATTTGATTAGTACTCTTAACTGACTGCATGACCTTATACGTAAATTTATAAACTTAAAAGATATTAAACAAAAGTGTGTAAACTAATCGAGACATAAATAAACATAGGAACCTAGGAACTTATATATATATATATATATATAGGAACTTATATATATATATATATATATATATATAGACCCTACGTCGAAAATAATCGAACTCAGCAGTCGTTACAAAAACGTTAAAGACAAAGGCGGACAAACGAAAGCCTACTTATACCACAGTATAAAGAACTGTATACTGTGCTTTTGGATAGAAGTGGAAACTACACTAGCAGCCCGGGAGTCTTCAACGTCGCAAAGAAACCACGAACAGATTTGAGTCCCCTGAAAACCAAAATATGTGTCTCCCCCGTCCCCACCTTCTTTTGTTCCTACTGGGCGTATAGCAACGGCCCGGCGAATCCGAAAGAGGCTATTCAAACTATTCGCTTGTCGCTATCGAGCCCCAAATATGCAACAGTACCGGACGCGGTGGACATTCGCACCCAGCAAACACGGGTGGCGGAAAAAAATCGGCGTACGGTAACGGAGGCTTGTGCAAGTCTCGGGAGAGATGAGGTAATGGGGCTGGTTATACCACTCTTATACTTATATTCATATTTACTAGTATTTGAAAGTCATTAAAAAAGTTGTTCATATAAAAAACTATTATTTTTTACTAATTTACTAATCTTTATAAGAAATGACTTTAGCGTAAAAGTTTTAAAAAATCATAAAGAACAAAAAAAATATATAAAGGTCACATTATTTAAAAAAAAATTATGTATGTAAAATAAATACCTAGACAATTTTAAATAGAAAGGCCCCTAAGTATTGGTTAACAGACACTTTATTGTAAAACATTTTATTTTATCGAAATTAATTAACAGTTAATGTTATTAAAAATTTGTCCATTTTAGCGTTTAAATAAAAATTGGTAAAATTGGTTTGGCATTCATTAACTATTTATTAACATTTGCCAAATGAAACTGGATTATATCTCGCATTTTGCAATTAAACTTTAGCAAAATTAATATTCATATATGGTTTCGTACTAAATATAATATAACATTTGCATTTAAAAGTTTTAAAACAAGTATAATATAAAGTATAATATAAACATATTAGAATTATTACAGCAATTTTTTTATTTCATAATATGTTTTATTATTTAAGCCTTGTCTGTCTAGTCAGGAAACCAAAAATACAAAAAATATTATTTATTTAATTTAATTAATTGAGTGGAAAAACACATTGACTTTAATTAGGTCTCCTTTTAAACAGGGTATACAATATACATTATTACATTGAACGAAAATGATCTGGTAACGTCAATGTATTCGCTGTTAATTAAAGCCGGGCGCCGTTAATTAAATGATAGTTAAAGACGCCTCCAAGGGTGGCGATATTGCAATGTCTCGACTCCGCGCCGTGGCGCGCCGTTCCACCCGTTTTCTTTATTTCAACATCTTAACAGTTACACGTGTATAACAAAATTAATAGAACATTTTTAAAAGACTCGAATTTTTATACAATTTTATTTTCTGTGGAAGAAATTTTGCGAGACATTTTGAACCAAAAACGAACTTTATTTTAAGTTTCAAAACATTGTTTTTTATTGTTCGCTGTGTCTACAGTCCCGATGCAGGACTCAAGTTTAATCCCGACTAACATAATTTTACGATTTCATGTAATTATTACGATAAAACATATCAACAAACCAGACCCACCACAGGAATATTTATTTAATTACACATTATAATATTTTATCAGTTGCAAAATAATAAGAGTAAATAATCTTAAATATTAATGTAAAATTAAATAATAATGTTTTTAGTGCCACATTGCATTATTTCGTTGTGTAAGTTCATAAAATAAAAACTCGGGAAATAATACCCATTTACAGCGTGTGATGTCAATTTATGACGAATTCCTTAAAAAAATTAAATGTTCATAATTTGCCCCGTTCTATGCTAAAAAATAATATAATCTGTTCTAAAATTCTTGCCTAACGTTTCAGGAGTTTTCTGCCTACATTCTTGAATTATTCTCCGTTTGAGTTCTTAAATGTTCTCGGGTGCTACCCGAGAACATTTAAGAACTCGACGGGTGGTGTTTTTAAATGATCCCAAAGAAAAAATCAAGTGTCGTTAAATCTGGAGATCTAGCCGACCATTCTCGAGCACCTCTTCTACAAAGCATAGTGAGAAAGAGCTTTATATTGTTTAAAGTACAAATTTCCTTCCTGTTTGTCTGATCTGATCTAATCTGATTCCCTAATGACTGGGTAATAAGTCGGTCTATAATATTTTCAAAAAAAAAATACTGTTGAGAAAAAAAATCCTGTCTGAAAAATAATTTTAATTGCGCGAAAAAATAATTTCTAATTTAAAAATAAAAAAAAAATTTCTCGCGTAAAAATATTTCGTTGGCGAGAGAATAAATTTACAACTACGCGCGAGATTAAAAAATTATTTTTTTTCTCGCGTAAAAATATTTCGTTGACATTATAATATTTTATCAGTTGCAAAATGATAAGAGTAAATAATCTTAAATATTAATGTAAAATTAAATAATAATGTTTTTAGTGCCACATTGCATTATTTCGTTGTGTAAGTTCATAAAATAAAAACTCAGGAAATAATACCCATTTACAGCGTGTGATGTCAAGTTATGACGAATTCCTTAAAAAAATTAAATGTTCATAATTTGCCCCGTTCTATGCTAAAAAATAATATAATCTGTTCTAAAATTCTTGCCTAACGTTTCAGGAGTTTTCTGCCTACATTCTTGAATTATTCTCCGTTTGAGTTCTTAAATGTTCTCGGGTGCTACCCGAGAACATTTAAGAACTCGACGGGTGGTGTTTTTAAATGATCCCAAAGAAAAAATCAAGTGTCGTTAAATCTGGAGATCTAGCCGACCATTCTCGAGCACCTCTTCTACAAAGCATAGTGAGAAAGAGCTTTATATTGTTTAAAGTACAAATTTCCTTCCTGTTTGTCTGATCTGATCTAATCTGATTCCCTAATGACTGGGTAATAAGTCGGTCTATAATATTTTCAAAAAAAAATACTGTTGAGAAGAAAAAATCCTGTCTGAAAAATAATTTTAATTGCGCGAAAAAATAATTTCTAATTTAAAAATAAAAAAAAAATTTCTCGTGTAAAAATATTTCGTTGGCGAGAGAATAAATTTACAACTACGCGCGAGATTAAAAAATTATTTTTTTTCTCGCGTAAAAATATTTCGTTGGCGAGAGAATAAATTTACAACTACGCGCGAGAGTAAATTTTCTGAGTTGGACGCTGGTGGCGCTAATAAACATACGTTTCAAATGTGAAACCAGCTTTAAAATTAATTTGGCAGCTCGGCGGCATTGAGGTTAGAAGTAATTTCTTACATCTGAACCCATTAAAAATTTTAAAGCTAAAAACTAAGGCTAAAGACAAGTACTTCTTTTATTTATTAATGACATTTAATTTAGTACTTACCTATGAAAGAATCCAACAGGACTTATATTTATATAATAGGTATGTATTTTTAAAATTCTAACCTCAATGCCGGCGAGCTGTCAAATTAATTCTAAAGCTGGTTTCACATTTGAAACGTATGTTTATTAGCGCCACCAGCGTCCAACTCAGGAACTTAAAATTTACTCTCGCGCGTAGTTGTAAATTTATTCTCTCGACAACGAAATATTTTTACGCGACAAAAAAACATTTTATTTTTTACTCTCGTGCGTAGTTGTAAATTTATTCTCTCGCCAACGAA